TTTTGCTGGTAGGTGGATATATAAGGGTCTGTAGCTAGTAAAATGTTCAGAGCTCTTAAGCATATGTAAAGGCTTAAATGTACACAAAGGCCATTTCTCTTCAGTTGTTGCTGTAGTTATTAGAATCCTATTTGTGTGCTGCCATAGTAGCATTTTTGTCAAATCTACACTAAATCACACAGTACCTGAAGGAATTTTGAGTGTTTCAGAGGGTGAAGAGTAATTAAATCACTGATTTGTCTGCACCAAACTTCTGTTTTTAATAGAATCCCTTACAATGTTACAGTGCTGTTTCTTTACTGAGGTAAAGATGAACCTGGCATTATTTTAATATCTAAAACCATCTATGTTTTTGGAAAAAAAAAAAAAAAAAAAAAAAAGTCCACAAAACTTAGCCAATACACGTAGCTATAAGACAAAGCAGAAGTTAATCAAACTGAAAACTTCAGGAAAATTATGTGAAGTGACCAGGGAAAAATGCCTGTCACTTGCAGTCCCTCACATCCCTGCTCAGAACAGCACCGGCAGCATCGCACAACGGACAACGAACATTCACCGGGGAGAAGTATTCCCCAGGGAAAAATGCCTGTCACTTGCAGTCCCTCACATCCCTGCTCAGAACAGCACCGGCAGCATCGCACAACGGACAACGAACATTCACCGGGGAGAAGTATTCCCTTCCTCAAGTATTGGATACTGGGCTACTGCCAGGGACTAAGTATCAGATTAATGGGATAAACAGTCTGTTCTGTTGTAATAAGGATGGTCCAAAGATCTCAGCTTCTAATTTGTAATATTTACCGATAAATAAATACCATAAGATGGATATTAAAGTTCTGTTATTGCAGGTGGCTGGAATATTTTAGGGTTTTTTAAGTATGAGGAAGCCACCTCCAAACCTTTTAATCCTTCTTTATAGTTACTATAATTTATCCTCTGGCCTTCTAGAAGTGGTCTTTGCTTGTAAAACCTACCATATTTCTGCAAATTATATTTTAGTAATCTGTGGCAAGAAGGAAGGTCATCAATATAAACCACAAATACTGTGTATTTGACATTCCTGCCAGCTGCACTTGCTGATCTGTTCATTTAAAATATCTATGATCTGTACTAACCTATCTGGGTGAGATACTCCTTTAATTAATACAAACATTAAAAAAAAACAACCTATGACAGTGTGCAATATTCAGTCAATAGGCACATGCTAGGTCCACATAATTTGAGAAAAGCAGAAGCTAGCAAAGAGAAACTGCGTAACTGCCATGTAAGCCAGGCTTTGAAAATTGTTTTGTGTTCAGCATCTTTCCCCTTCATACTCAAAAATCAGTTAGGTTGTTTTCCAGCATTTGTAAATAGCTTCCAAACTGTGCAAATAGTTCTCCGCTTTAAGTATGAATGTCAATGAACTCATTCAAAATCATCTTCAAATGCCAGAAAAGATTAACATATCCTGGCCACAGGAGGGAGGTCAGAAGAAGGCACACGCTTTTAGGCTTTACTGGGGTGGGCATGATCCAAAGCCAGCCTAAGCGTATGGGAAAACTTCACGAAGGGACACAGCATGGTAAAATTCCACGACAAGTGCTCGAAACACAAGAGACCAGAAACAATCTGGGATCAATAGCTTCCAGGTCATTAATCCTAGGCAGGTGACATCCAGTGCACAGTTCACTACTCTCTTTCATGCACACATTCAAGAAATCTGACTCGACTGGCATCTAGTAGCTTTATATATTTTCCATGTTTTGCCTTTATCCTTCCCTTATTTGTTTGGCATATGGCTTTCTAGCATCCCATTAATGTCAAACCGTTTAATCGGAATGTAAGCTAAATGCACACTTTGCTATTTCCTGGATTTCTCTTTGGTGACCAGTGCTTTTTATGAGGAAAATAAAAGCAAAGGTCAGTACGACCAGAAAAGAAAAGTCATCTCCCATAACGGAAGCTTGTTTTTTCCAGTGAACTGATACAGAAGCCTAATTTAGAAAAAGGTCCTTTAGTATCATGTTATTATTAGTAGTATCACAAATAAACACAGAAACCAATTCACTTTACAGACCTCCACATTAAGCATTCAATAGAAAATCCCTTGGTGTTTTATTGATTTTTGTTGTATTGATTTTTTTAAATAGCAATATCACAGTTAAAATGTATCATTTTGGTGAAATACGTCTAAAACTTTTCCATCTCCAAATAAGTTATTATAAATTATTTCCACAGCAACTGGCAACTAACGATTCAATCCATTTAAAGTACAACAAAGTAATGGCTTTATTTGGATGCCTTTTTTGATTAAATAACGTATTAACCTTGATGAAGCTTTCCAAAAAGGGATTAGCGTATTCGAGTGCATCAGCTGATTATGAGACAAATATAACTGGTTCAAAAATTTTGATTCTGATGAGTCTAACAATTTAGCCGCTAGGATGGAGTTGGCTCTTACAGCTTCCATCTCAAACAGCAAGTGTCCACCCAGGATACAGACAGACATCACCAGGCTAAAGTACGCAGTAACTCTGAGTGTGGAAAGGTCACTTCAATCACTAAACCAAGTAGATCAAAATATCCTATGTAATTACTGTAACATCAAGAATAATTAAAAATAATTAATTTGTAAGGAAAGAGGAATCCGAATGAAACATATTGGAATGGAAAACCAGAAAGTAAACCCAGTTCTATCTTCTGATAATATCATGCAGTTTGACCAAAACTCACTGATCCACTTTTTTTTATTATTCTATACTGTAATAATACATTTTGCATACTTATTGTATATCCTTTGCAGCAAGTTATTTGCTTAATGGATGTATAAATAAGTCTACTACAATTACGCTTTTTAAGGGTCAAATTCTCTCCACTTCTGAACCCACTACTGTAATTTCCACAACGCTGGATGGTAACACAGACCTGAGAAACAGCTGAAACACGGCCGATTCTGTGCTGTTGACATAATCAACCCATGTTACAACCGGGCTGCCAGACCCTTTTATAAACCCTGCCAAGTTCAGGACTGGTGTCTCCATAGTCCACCCCCCACATACCTCCCAAAAAAGTTCCTCTGTTTTTTAATTTCACATGTTACGATTCACAAAGTGTGACTGTGGCAAAGTAAAACTTCCATCAGTTTATTTTAAGGACCAAATCCGAGTTGTTACAAGTTGCACACCACACAACCCTCCCACCCCCAATCGTCTAGGACCAGCTATTAATATTCATGTTGATTCCACATGAAACATGAGAGTCACCCGAGCAGCTACAGTTATGTCAGCGCTTGGAAGTCCAAGCTGTTTTGTCCTGCTGCCCTGAATATTCAGGAACTTCAACAATCCATCTAGCAACAGCTACTGCAGGGTGAGAGCTCTGCTTCGCCCTGCTCTATGCTAATGAGCCCAAACTACCCAAGCTAACGCGGGCCGGGGCTGGAGGGAGTATCCCCCCCCCCGCCCCGCGCCATCAGGGAAGGGAAGGAGCACGGCTGAATTCCCCACGTGTTGGCTGTTGCTGCACCTTGGAATCTGACAATAGGAAAGTGAAACGAGCCCGGTTAGTTTACTAGGTATACTGAAAGTAGCATCGGGACTTTGCGAGCTCCTCGGTGGCGAGCCTTCCCTCCCGGTGAAGTTCCCACCGCCCCTCCAGAGCGACAGAAGCAGAGCCCCCACCCCACCCCGCCTCCGCCCCAGGCAGGGGGAGCCCTCGGGAACTGGAGGCGCTTCCGATCGCTCTGATCTCGGGGTCATGGCAGTTATGCGATCCCTTCTCCTTATCAAGCAGATTCAGCCCTGTAACCTACAGATGGAGAGATAACAGCCCCACGCTTTCGCCCTCAGTTGCAAGGCAGGCCGCTGTTGCAGCAGGGATTTCCTCTTTTGCCGGATCCT